AAGAGTAAAGGCGCGAACCAATTCTGAAAGGATAGAGTTGTAGGTGAATTAAAGTTAAGTGCATGATTAAAATGGAGAAATAGCTTAGAGAATATGAAGATGTTCTATTTTTATTTTTTTAATTAAGTTAATGGAGTTATAATATTGTAAAATAAGAAAAAGAAAATGTAAAATACTACAAAAAATATGTTATATCATTTAATTAAATTATCTTCTAATCAGATTTTATTTTGTAATCTGGCAGTTCGAGCGGTTTGAAAGTAAAACCACAAACCAAACCAATTATATCGGTTTTAAAATTTTAGAATTCAAACCAACCCAATTTTATATCGGTTTGGATCAGCTTTTAATTGGATTAGATCAGTTTAGGTCGGATCAATCAGATTGGATCGAATATGAACACCCCTACTCAATATCATTATCATTATTCTGGAGCTTGAATGGCTCAAAATATTGTTTGAAGGCAACTGCATATATATATATATATATATATAGGTGAAATTTTTGAAGGCAAGAGCATGACAATCTTATAACCAGACACCCCGAAATTATGCAGTGCTTCAGAAGCTCATGGTGCCAAGTGATGACAATTGCAGATAAAACGTATATAAATAGGCGAACTGTATATAATGATGAGCATAAACCATAGAAAGAGCCTTTTTATAGGTTAAATACCCTTTTTGGTCCCTCTACTATAGGAAAAAGCCCCTTTTTAGTCCCTGTACCGAAAAAATCTCCTTTTTTGTCCTTACTGTCCACAAATCCGACCCCTTTTTAGTCCTTCCGTTAAATTTTGCTCACGTGGCATGTTAACTTAACTGGAACAGCTGACGTGGGAATGCCAATGTGTAAAAGATGCTTACGTGAACTTAATGACACCCTCCATATCACCCTCCACGTCACTCTCCACTTCCTCCGACCTTTTTTTTTTTTTTTTTTCCTTTTTTCCCTTTTACCCCCAAGCAAACCCAAGAGCCTGGGTTCGCGAGGAACCCAACTCGCGGGTTCGCCATGAACCCAGGAGCCTGGGTTGGCGACGAACCCAATCGCCTGGGTTCATCGCGAACCCAGGCGCCTAAGTTCATCGCCAACCCAGCAACATTTCCATGTCAGTGTCACTTGCTCCAAATCAATCCACAAACAAGCACAAAAATCACTACACAAATGAAATGCTTCTTTTTCATGAGATTAAATCAATCAATTCTCGCACCCAAACTAGCAAGTCTTCCAACAAAGTCAAAAAAATCCAACCAAAAGGAAAATGTTTTAAGGTTACGAAATTCAAATCAAACATTTTAATTTCTCAGATATCTCAAAAACAACCTGTGATGCTTTCCCAGATCCAAACAAAATACAAAGAGAACCTAAAGGCTTAAAGCAAAATCTTAGTGATTGAACAAATTTGGACGATTTGGGGAAAAGAAGAATACCATTGAACCCTTCAACCACGGCATGAATTAAATCCTTGGTAAGAAGCTCGTAAACTTAAGCATTTGAGCATGTTTCATTGAACACATGATCTGCAAATGCGAATACGAAAAAGAAAAGCTTAATTGAACAAAATCCACACTGATAACATGGTAAATCGAAGATGAAATAGAAAGGTTAAATACCCTGCTAGGTTTGTCGCGATGAACCCTGCTCGTGGGTTCGCGACGAACCCAGGAGCTGGGTTTGAGATGAATCCAGGCTCGTGGGTTTGTCGTGAACCCAGCTTATAGGTTCGCGATGAACCCAGGCTCTTGGGTTCGCAACGAACCCAGGAGCCTGGGTTCATTGTGACAAACCCAGGCTCTTGGGTTCGCAACGAATCCAGGAGCCTGGGTTCATCGCGACAAACCTAGGCTCCTGGGTTCGCCTAAAGGTAAGAAAAAAAAGAAAAAAAAGGCTGAAGGAAGGAGAGGATGAGGGAAGAAAATGAGGGTGAACCCAACGAACCCAAGCTCCTAGGTTTGCCTAAAGGTAAGAAAAAAAAGAAAAAAAAGAAAAAAAAGGCTGAAGGAAGGAGAGGATGGGGGAAGAAAATGAGGGTAAATTGGTAATTAAAAATAAAAAATTTGGCCATGTCATCGAGTTTTGCCAGATGGATTTTACACGTAATTTAAGTAAAGAAAAAAATAAAATTTTTCGTTAATTAACCGCCACATCAGCCAAAATTTAACGGAAGGACTAAAAAGGGGCCGGATTTGTGAACAGTAAGGACAAAAAAGGGGATTTTTTCGGTATAAGAACTAAAAAAGGGCTTTTTCCTATAGTAGAGGGACCAAAAAGGGTATTTAACCTTTTTAGGAAATCAACTAAAATAGCTTTAAACCAAGAAAATTAAGAAGTGGAAAGTAATGTTTTGAAAACTGGATTGGACTGGTCGGTCGATCGGTTGAACCGATACCCAGTGTACAAATGGTTTGGTTGTATTTTTTAAATCGTTTGAATTGTAAACCATTCGAAATCAATAAGAAACGTTGAAACTGTTCAAACCAATAAATCGTTCGACCAGACAGTTCAATGATTGGGCATAAAATCTTCAAAATTTTGTCTCTTATGAGACTTGAACTTACAATCTCGAAGCTTTAATTCTGACTTTTTACCATTAGAACGATATCATCCTTATGTTATTGAGTGCTTGAAATTTTATTTATCTAATAAAATTCTCAAAACTTTTAGATATAAAACAAATACTCAACCACTTTAGACACAACTTTTTATTTGTTATTTTTGGCTTTACAATATATTTATTCTATCTTTAAGACCACAATTATATTAAAATTTGTTCTCACCTAGGCTTGAATTTGTGATCTTTCACCTATCAAATTAGTCACTTACCACTGCACCCAACTAACACCTTGTGAAATATTTTGCAGAATAATATATTTATAATAGTTTGATAAACCCGGTGGTTTTATTAGTTAAACCGATTGAACCAATCAAATCATAAACCGAATGTCAAAACAGTTTGACTTCCGATTTGGGTTTAAAAACATTGGTGGAAAGGCCAATGAAGCACAAGAACTAGTCGAATATGCGTTAGCAGAGAAATCTTGGAAAGATCTAATCTTCCCCAGCGATTACTGAATGAAATTGAAAAAAGTATAAGAGGAGAACAGAACATGCCCCATAGGACTTTGACAATCAATCCTTATATACACGAAATTCTTCTTGCCGCCTCAATTACCCACTAAAGAAATCAATGTTGGAATTTTCAAACAACACAATCCCATTCATACAGAAACAACAAAGAAATCACTATAACAAGATGTAACATGGTTCAACTTGTCACTTCTCCCGACAAGTATGGGAAAATTAAGGAGGAAAAACTAACTATTGAAAAAGGAGTATATATAATAATTTGGTGGCAATTTCTTAACAAGAAACCTCAATATTGAGTGGGAAAATTCGTATAGAGAATATAACCAAAAAAAAAAAAAATAGAAATTTGTGATTTAAATACAAAAAGTGTTACTCCTCCTATTATTAATTAATTTTGGGTTGGACATGTAAACTTTACATTGAATCCTATATGTCAATTTTCAAATTGTATCAAATCCCAAGTTACGTTTCTAGGAAGCTTATGGTTAGTTCACATAATTAACAAGACTCGAAATTTATACTGGGTTACATGTAAAGGTATATCACGTTATGTGATGAGACCAAATATTCATTATCAAGTTTGCAAAAAAGGGTGCGTATATATTCAGTGAGAAAATTTAATATTGAAGATATAACACAGAAAATATGAGAGTTACTTTACATATTTTTAATTAGTTTTAAATTACTTTTCAAAAAGAAAATAAATTATATATAAGTTTTATGTTAAATTCGTAGGTTAATTTTCACACTCAAACATATGTATAGCTTCGATTCCCCTCCCCAAAAGTTTCTTCCTCCCTCTATCTTGTTTGTTCTCTCAAATCTTTTGGATTCGCTAATAACGTCTTAATTCAGTAGTGTTTAGTTGCACAAAGAAGTCTTGATGATGTGTTAACTTTTACAATTTGTCCAAGTTTTCTTCTTTTTTTTTTTTTTATTATTATTATTTTTTTATTTTTAGTAGACAACGGAGACCAAGTAGTTAATAATAATGTTTTAGAGAATCATTTTCCATGAAGCAAACACAGGGTATAAGCGTCCACTCGATCACTCTTTTAGCCACAAAGTCATGGTGTTAGGTTGTATTAAGATGTATTCAAATCAATTTATTTACACTTTAAAATTTAAATATGTTTGTTAGTATATTCTTACATTAAGACAATGCATTTAAGAAAACTAAATTTTTTTATATATTAACATCAAAGTTATCTTACATCTAATAATTTATAAAATAATATTTATTTAATAACAAACCCATATTAACAGCGCAAGTTTTTTAGGTGGATAATCATCTAATATATTGGTGGTGTTAGCAATTTTCTCTTCTCTAAGTCATGCACGTAATTCTATACCCACGTACTTCATGTGAGGTGCACCTGCAATTGTGGACGGTGTTTCAGCAGGAAATGCAAATGGGCCAAATATAATTCTTCTGACATTAATAAAATAACAATAATGACCTATTGTGTGACTTCATCTACCAAATATTTTGGAAGAAACCGTATCCCAGTGAAAATGAAAGCACCCATAATTAAAATGGGGATTCTTTGCAGATTTAATTAAACCGACCAAACCAAAAACATGTATTATGCATGCATACATATACAAAACCGACCACCATTAACACGTGAAGGTTAATTTTTTCCCAGCGCACGAATTTGCTCTTGAAATGGGTGGAAATCTTAGACCAAGCCGATGCGCGTATATATAATCACGATTCCCTCGCCGAATTTCCCTTCTAGGTACAATTTAATTTCAAGAATTAGAATCCCTGCTGTATGAGATGGAATCAGGAATTTTTCACAGGGAGGGCAAATTCTAGATTTATTGACTAGAAATAATGTCCTTTTTCTGGGAACAGGAACACCCTTTTTTTTTTGGTACAACAGGAACACCCTTTTACTTTCTTCATTTTATGAATATAAATTACAATTCATATCACTATATTATATATAATATACCCATATATATTGACTAATCAAAACATTGGGTTAGACACATATTACAAATCAATTATTAAGTCAAATTGAAAACTGAATGAAACCAATTAAAATCGAATGAAACAATTAAAATCGAATCAAACCTTCATATGGTAGGACCTAAACCCAAAAACATTAATCAGGACTTGTTTGGTTGGTGGTTATTGACTATTATATTTTTGTTAAACTATAAAAATAAGTTAAAATTGAGAATCTTATATGATAAGCTAAAAATAATTAAATCTTAATGTCTAATTTTTTTTTCGTTTTACATTAAAAAATAATTAAAAAAATTATTCCTTAAAAAAAAGAAGAAGCATATTTCTCATTCATTTAAAAAATTATCAATATTAAAACTCATCTATTCCTAATTTTATAATTTAACCTAAAAATAACTATTACTACCAACCAAAAACATGACCTTAAGGTTTCAAGTTTCTGCCTTCAGTCTGCGCCTCTCTACCGCAACTCTTTATTGGAAATAAATATATATTTTTTATCAGCGAACAAAATTTTTTATTCGTAAGATTACGGGAGGTAATCTAAAGTGACTTATTTGTAAAGCAGCACAGAAATCAGCACGACAAATACGACTGCGCGGCTAGAACTCCTAAGTAGACGTGGCCAAAGACTTATAAAGCCTTAAACTGTTGGAAATTTTTTTATGTGAACTGTAGTTAATTGTATTTACTTTTTAAAAATTGAGTCAAATGAAAAAACTGATAAAACTCAATAAAGTAATGTGATTTAAGTAGATTTAGATTTTATCTCAATTTTATATGGTGTGATATGAATAGGTATAGGGATTAAAAGTAAAGTAAAGGTGAATTACTTGATGGGAGTACTCAAAAGATTATTATAATGAGTTAGATCTCCTATTCCATTCAGAAAACAATACCTCTATAAATAATAGAATTAGAGAGTGTCATGACCCATTGGTTGTCACCATATAGAAGTTGATTAAGGAGAAGAAAACTTAAATCTCAATACTAACTATATTTATTTTGTAGGTTTTGTCATGAGATTATTAATTATGATTATCCTTGAAAATCCTTAAAATTTCTTAAGTAATATATTGATTATGAAAATTCAGATACGCAATGTATTTATTTTATTAGATCTTGATATCATAAATTCTATGTATATTGATCCTCAAAATTCCAACATAAATTTCTTTTGACAACTCCTCTCAAATCTCTTAGTTCTTAGTTTTTAGTTTTTACATTTTTTTATTATTTTAAACATATATAAAATATTAATTAAAATAAATATAAAATATATTTTGTATATATTTTTAAAATATTAAACAATCAAACAACCTACAGCTGAAATTATAAGCTAATATTGTCAAACTAAACTTTAATTTGAAGATACTTCTAACTACTTTAGTTTTAAATTTTTTGACCTTTTCATTATCCTAAAAATATATAGAATATTAATTTAAATAAATATTGAATATATTAGATGTATTTTATATATTTCCGTGATCATATGGCAGCACTCTCAATCTAAGCCAAAAAAAGCAATAGTACCTTATGGGTTCTTATGGGGCGGTCCAGCTGCATGGACCAGTTCCTGCTTGGAGAACTAGTGACCTGGACTGGCTCGATATGATATAGAGCCAGTCCCCGACGTCGTCTGCGCTTGAACTAGTTCATCTTAAGACCGCTCGGTTCATTTTATCTTTCTTCTTTTTTAATTTTTATTTTAAACTAAGCAATTAAAATAAGGACAATAATTTGTATATATTTCGATTCAACACACTATGTGACATACTCATTAAAAAATTTATATTTTTTAGTCTGAAATTAAAGACATAAGTTTAATGATATAATTATGCACACAGAATATAGAAACTGGTTGAACTAATTGTATTTATATTATATTTTTAATAACTAAACCGAGAGTGTGTCAAAAAATATGTTGAACTGAAGGTGTACCAATCATTTTCCTTAAAATAAACAGAGCAATCCAAACACTAGACCTCTTACCAAAAAGAAATCTATTACTTTTTACCTTTAGGAAAATGATTGATATATCCTTCGATTTAACACATCTAATAATACCCACCGGTTCAGTCATTAAAATTTACCCTTAAAGATTTTCCCACGTTGAATTCAAATTTGAAAATATTAATTTCTTAATGATTAAACCGATAAATATTATTAGGTGTATTGAACCGAAAAGTGTACTAATCATTATCCTTTCATTCTCAAAAGATTAAAATTTTAAAATATGTTTTTAATAATGCATGCGGATCAAGAAAAAGGTTTTTAATCATGAAATTTTGAGTAGTTAGTGATATAATTCCTTTTTAAAGTATAAAAGGTGTTAAGTTCATTTGTTGTCATGTCAAGTTTTAAAAATTTATGATTTCTTTTTCAGTTTTTATTGATTAATAATAAAAAATAAATTGAATACATAAACAAAAAAGAGAAAAGGGAATGAAGAGTGAGTCTTTCTTTTGTGGTAGGAGATTTTGTGTTTTACACTTGTATTCAAATACTGATTAAAAATGAAAAATAAAATACAAGATTCAAAATACAAGTGACAGAGAAATATATGAAGTTCAAAGGTTAAACTTCAATTTTGGTCCTTAACTTTGGTATGACCCTTGATTTAGTCTCTAAACAAAAAAAAAAGGTTAAAACCCTTTTTTGGTCCCTGAACTATTGTATGGACCCCCGATTTGATCCCTGAACTAAAAAAATCTCTGATTTGGTCCCTACTGTTTACCATTTTTACCACGATTTGGTCCTTCCGTTAAAAATTGTGTGACGTAGCCCGTTACTTCACAGTTACTAGATGACAAGTCATATAGTAATCCACGTGGAAGATAATATAGTAAAAAAAATGATGATGTGGAAAAAAATAATAATATAAAAAAATATTATAA